AGCTATCTATCTATCTATCTATCTGTGCCAGTCAGTTAATATATATATATATATATATATATATATATATATATATATATATATATATTCAACACTTTCACTTGAAGTGTTGAAACAAAATGGCTATTTTTGTAGTGATTTTATAACATATTTATGTTATATTTTCGAATATATGTATATATATATATGTGTGTGTGTGTATATATATATATATATATATATATATATATATTCTTTTTAAAAAGGGACGCTCACAATTTACAGGGGCCAGTGCGCACTCGATGTAGAGGGTTACGTTAGGAGGCCATATGTGTGTATAGGTGAGAAAGAAAACGATTAACCCTAGCCTTGAATAGGTCAATATTGTGTTGAGATGTTGAGTGTTTCCCCGTGCGTGTATTGAAATAAGGACAAACACATACGTAGAGAAAAATACTGATATATCTGAAGAGATATTTACAACAGAGAGATTAGTAGTCAAACGAACGCCGGTTAGTCAGTAACAATCAGAAAGAGTATAAAGTCCAACTGTATCTTCCGGTAGAGAGACGGATGTGTGATGGTCACCTGATCTCCCCAGAACTCTATAGAACTGTCCTATTAGTAGTAGAGAGATCAGTCCATTCTGATGAGAAGGTGGGTGGCCCCAACACATTGCAATGATCGAAGAATCGATTCCAGAGGGTAGTGGTTTGCGGGAAGAAGCTGCTCAAATGGAACTTACTTCTCACCGATGGTATATGAAGGGAATGTCGGTGGTTTGTAACTATGTATGTGGCATGGCGTGTTCTTGCCGTGAAGCTTAGTCCTAGCAAATAGTGTTTTTGTTTTTTTGTTTTTTGTTTTGTTTTTTTTTGTTACCATTTTTCTTTGAGACTTCTACGTTGCATACTCGTTCCTTTCGTGGAATTCTCAGTATCCTTCGGTAGAACCATATTTCTGTTGCCTCCAGATTACTCCTTATCTCTGAGGAGACTGTACACCATTCACCGCCATAGAAGGATCAATATCGCATCTGAATACGGCACTCTTTTCTCTTTTTCTTTTTTTTTTATTTGTACTTTGTTTAGAGGTGGTATGCATAATTCGCTAATCCAATGCGCGTTCGCGATTTCGGTGTTGCATTTTCCAACCTCTGTTAAAAACTTCCCAGATATTTAACCTTTTTTTACAGCAAGGTTCATCTTGCACAAGGCCTGGGAGCCACTCGAGGTATAAGCTTACGTTAAGGGGTAGTTTATATAAATAGGATGGGAATATAACGGTTGACTCTAGACTGGAACTAGATAAGATTTTAGTGATCAGGGAAATATCCTCTTGGGAGCCTGTTCCATAAGGCTGTGATTCGCAGGAAGAAGCTGTTCGAGTGGAAATTACTTCTCGCAGAATACGAAAGGAATGTAGGTGGTTTGCTACTGTGTACGTGGCGTGACGTATTATTGCCGTGAAAATTTGTCTTGGCGAGACCAGGGAATGTAATTTGTCCGAGCACTTTCCAGGAGCGTAACGGCAGACTAGCGAGAGGCTTGCCGCATCTCACCTGTGGGAGAGGGTTTTTAAGGCTGAAGAATAATCCCTCACTCATAATGGCTGGGAGATGCTTTTGAACTCGATAGATTTCAAAAGCGTCTCTAACACTGGAGAGTGAGGTATCAATCTATCTATCTCTCTAATCTAGGACTCTTTCTTAAAACGCGATTTTTATGCTTTTCCTATTTGAATTTACTGAGGAATGTTAATTCCTAAGTTAATGATCGAACAAGTCCATAACGCCTTCTACAACAATAAAATATCCGCTGAAATTCCCCTGCCGGATCGTTAAATATTTGATTGCAATAACCTCAACAAAATATGCCAATAATAATTATAAATATGAATCGTGGTCGTTATTTTAAGAAGTAACAACTTTTTTCCATTTCACTGAAACAGACATTTTCCATTTTCCTTCTGAAACAGACATTCCTTCATTCCTTCCTTCCTTTCCTTCCTTCCTTCCTTCCACCTTATTCCCCACCTTCCTATTTCCTTAGAGTTCCCTTCCCTTCCCCTCCTTCCTTGTTTTTTCCTTCCTTCCTTCCTTCCTTCCTTCCTTCCTTCCTTCCTTCCTTTTCCTTCCTCCTTCTTCTTTTCTTTGTCCTTTTCCTTTCCTTCCTTCATTCACGACGTCCTTCCTTCTTCCTTCCTTCCTTCCTTCCTTTCCTTCCTTTCCTTCCTTCCTTCCTTCCTTCTCCCTAGCCCTTCCTTTGACTTTTGCCCCTTCCTTCCTTCCTTTTCCTTCCTTCCTCCTTTTCTTTATTCCTTCCTTCTTTCTTCCTTCCTTCCTTCCTTCCTTCCTTCCTTCCTTCCTTCCTTCCTTCCCATTCTTCCTTCCTTCCTTTTGGATAAATTCCTTCCTTCCTTCCTTCATCAGGAATTCCTTCCTTCCCCTTCCTTCCTTCCTTCCTTCCTCCTTCCTTCCTTTCCCTTCCTTCCTTTTCTTCCTTCCTTCCTTCATCCTTAAAATGAAGGCTTCCTTCCTTCCTTCCTTCCTTCCTTCCTTCCTTCCAAAACCCAATTTTTCCTTCCTTCCTATCCTTCTAAATTCTTCCTCCTTCCTTTCCTTTCTCTTCCTTACGGCTTCCTTTCTTCCTTCCCCATTCCTTCCTATCATTTGCACATTCCTTCTTTTGCTCATTGAATCCAAGTAGCGTCTCTGATATGTCTTTCCACAATCAAAACAAAATAGTCCATTATTCATAAGGTATTGGCAAGGCGTAACGGTCATGCTAACTAAGAGAGGATGTAAACAGAATTATCATGAGAAAAGAGGCTCCTTTTCGAGAATATCTCACGTAGAAAGAAAGACTGCACCAGTACCATTTTACGCAGCTTCAGAATCGATGCCAAACATAGCTGACTGAAACATATATAGAAAAGGGTGGAAATATTAATTTTACATAATAAATTTAACTCAGTAAAAGGCTCAAGTGCCTCTCGAGGTAGAGAGACAAAATCAAAATCGTTATTCTGAATAGTGGGTGCTGTATGGATGGAAGAGAGAGTAAAACTTACGAGGATAAAGGGGATAGAGAACAACTGACTTCTTTGATTGATGTGTTTTTTTACGGATTATCAACACATTGTGGATTATTTTTGAATTGTAAAAATATGCGTACTATTTAAGACATAGCTGGGGGAGGTCAAGATTAATATGGTCAAGGAAGCAGCCACGTGGAATTATGTTCTATAAAGTGGCATTTTTTTTTTTTTTTTGAAAAACTTTCTAATTCGGTCTTTGTTCTTCTTACGTGTCCAAGACAAAAGAAATAAGAATGATTCACCTTCATGGAAGTAGCAACGTTCGCGGTAAAGACCTGAACTGGTGGAACTGAACAACTGCCATTGAAATTGCGATGGGGGTAATGATGGACTTTCAATGTTGTGTCTGTGTGAAAGAAGCGGGAAAGTGGAAAATATGACTTGCCTCACTGGACTGTGTAAATGTCTTAGCCGTAAAGATATGAACTTGTGGAACTGGAAAATTGTGATCATCTGAACATTTGCCATGGAAATAGCAATAGAATAGGATGGGCTTGCAATGTTTCTTTTGGTAGAAAGAAGCTATATAGTGGAGAATAAGACATGCCTCATCGGACTATGTAAATGTCCTAGCTGTGAAGGTCTGAACTAGTGGAACTAAAGAATGGAGATCATCTGAACATTTGCCATTGGAATAGCGATAGAATAACGATGGGCTTGCAATACTGTGTTTGGGAGAAAGAAGCCGCAGAGTTGAGAATATGTCTTGCCTCACGGGAAAGTGTAAATGTCTAATGTGTAAAGGTCTGAACTGGTGGAACTAAAGAATGGAGATCATCTGAACATTTGCCATGGGAATAGCAAAAGAGTAGGGATGGGCTTGCAATGTTTTGCCTGAGACAAAGAAGCTATATAGTGGAGAATAAGACATGCCTCATAGGACTGTGTAAATGTCCTAGCTGTAAAGGTCTGAACTGGTGGAACTAAAGAATGGAGACAATCTAAACAATTGCCACTGGAATAGCAATAGGCTAGTGATGTGCTTTCAATGTAGTGTCTGTGGAAAAGAAACTGCAGAGTTGAGAATAAGACTTTCCCCGTGGAACTGTGCAAATGCCATAGCCGTAAAGGTCTAAACTGAACTGAAAACGAAACCCATCTGAACATTTGCCATTCAAATAGCGATAAGATTACAGCGTAGCAAAAAGCATTGAGTCTTCTCCTATACGACCGTGTAAACTATTTTGAAATCTATCAATGCTGGTCGACAAATATGAGGATTGAGCAGCTATGGCTTTGATGTGCCAAGATGTATGACCTCAACCAGATCTATTTTGCCTAAACCCTCTATGCATAAATAAACCTAGCGAATCCAGTGAAAAGCGTTGGTCAGGTGCTCAATTGCACATCGAGCCCCGGTCATATGTGTGATGTTGATGGTGATGATGATAGTGATGATGATTCCGTTTTTGGTCTAAATTGATTCTTGTGAAATTCATGAGTTTTGTTGGGTTTGATAGTGGAGGGGTTTTCCTTTGCCGTCTCCACGGTGATTTTATCGAGACACATGTAGCCATTGACTTGTCCAGAGATATTCTTCCCTTTGAAAGGTCTTATTTCTAATCCTACAGTATACTACACACCTTGCCTTGCTAGCAAGAAATCGAACTTGGAGTTGAAATTTCCATCGTACATAATGAGGAAAGAGGTCGTGGAACTTTTTATACACACAGGACAGATTAAAAGCAAGTGGAACTGATAATAACAACGCATAGTCTGCCTGTCGAGCTTGAGTGAATAGATGGCGAAGCAGATTTTGGGGGAGATAGCCAAAAGATAGAGTTTATTAAAAGTTACCAAGGACAGGAAACTATGGAGAGCCATGATCGCCAACGTCGTGAACGCCATGATCGCTGACGTCTTTCTTCTTCTTTGTGCCGCCAAGCATGCTATAGGGAGACAGATTCTTTTTGGATAATGGTAATGGTAATGTTAATAGTAGTTGTTTCCCTATAAGGAAATATTTGGCATTTAATGACTAAGTATTTAGTACTTCTTTCTCTTGAAATGTATAAAATCTTTCTCTTAAAACATTTTCTTTTTCAGAAAAATACCCTTCTCATTTCCAGTAGCATTCTCTCTAGTATTGATGGTGTTATGGTCCGGTTTCTTGTACCACGGTGATAGTCCAAAGTAGAACCAATAAAGAAGAACTCGAACACGTATATGGAAAAAAACAGAAATATTACAAACAGGAATATATACAGAGAAATAGAAAGTGTTAGTACGAACAATCAGGGTTAGTAGTACTTGTCTGAACGCGACTCTGTTACGGTCTGCCTCTGACTCGACTGACTGACTCGCTCGCTCTGACTGACTGACAGACTCCTGACGGACTTCACTCCAGACTTCAAACTGAACTCCAGATTTCAGACTGAACTCTAGACTTCAGACGGAACTCCCTGCTTCCTCTTGAGGCGCAGTATTTATTACGTATGTTATAGTCCATTATGTTATTATGGGTAAGGTTTCTTTCCTAACCTTTTGTTTGAAGTAGTGTGGAATGTCAGTATCATGATTACGTCATTAATCTCTTGTCGAATTACATGTGCTATCCATATTAGTGATATTTAGCTACCCCCCCCCCCGAGGGTTACATATGGCACAAGGCCGGATTTAACGTGGGGTTTCCGAACCCGTAGGCTCGGCCAAAAATATTCCCTCTATGAACCCGCATAAGCGGGTTCAAGGGCAGTCAACCACCCCGAACGAGAGTCTGCCCTTCGGCGGAGCCTCGTCCGGGTTCCTCTCCGCCCGAGAGCAAAGAGTTAGACTGTTATTTAGCAAATATTTTTTCCAAGTTGCTATCCATTTTAGTTGTTATTGCTCTTGGTAGTCCTCATACGATATTGTTTCTGATACCCGGGACAGTTTTTGTTTTCTAGCGCTGGTTCATAAAGTTTAAAGACGAATAATCTTTACTAAAATCATCAGGCTTCACTCGTTCGAAGCTATTTTAACCATTGATCGTAGAAAGCTGTGGTACGAGATTTGATGCCAATGAACGGAAGGTATTTCTATGGTAACGTAGCTAACGTACCCAGATTGAAGCCTCTCAGCACAGATTGATTTTGAAACCTGTCGCGCATACAACAATTTATAGCGTTCTCGCTAACTTACATTGTGTATAGAATGAGGTCGTCTTGTTGTATAACCCACTCGTGCTAGTGAGCTCTTGGGTGACGGCATAAATTCGATAATAAAATTGCTTTCTTCTCCATCGGCTAGTGACCGCTTGTAGATTTACGTCCAGAGATGAAAGAACTCCACAGGGAATTTTAACTTAACTATTTAATTAACGTCGTTGTGTTCTTCTTCTAACTATCCAGCGGAATCGCTCCCTCACTGGAGAGCCGTTTCAAACACTAAAGCCAACACGTCTACATTGATGGATGGTTCAGAAGCAACTCACTGAAACCTCTTTTTCTATCTATGGTTCCTACGCTCGTTTAGACAATCAAAATCGACTTCCTTGTTTTGTCTTCCATCTGACCCCAAACATCAATCTCAGGAAGTACGAGCAGAGATGCCATTACCCGAAAATAGTCTGATAAACTATTATTTAACAGTCTCGCCACACGACCATGCAATTTTTGCCCCCCCCCAACACCACCATCAAAAACAAGTTCTCCAGGTAGGACCACCACCATATTGCCAAGATCTTGCCCCTTGCGACTTTTTTCTCTTTCCAAAAATCAAATCTCTAAAATGTGTGAATTCAGAAGGGGGTTACTTCGAAGGACATGAAATGCCGAATTGATATATTTTGTAATTTTCTTTTTATAGCTCCAGTCCCGACACTTTTTGATCAGACCTCGTATACATCCAGATTGATTAAAACAACTTTTTTTTTCCCAGGAATGGATTTAATAAAGGAATTCTACTTGAAGTCTGGTGTAAACTCGAGTTTTCAGTGTTGTTCAAATTATGGAGCCTCGTTTAGAATGGAAACGGTGTACTTGAATATAAAAAAAAATCAATTGAAAAGACATTGATTTGTTTAATATAGTCTTCTCGTGGAAGTCTAAGATGAACATGAAAAATATAAACAAACTTAAATTGATTACAAAGCAATCAATCTGCTCGGAACTAGGAAATTGACCTCATTCTGAAGGATTTTTAAGATGACAATTTTGCAATAAGTCAAGCGTCGGTATTTTTTTCCAATAAAATGTTAATTTTAGCTCAGCGATATAATTTGATATAAAGAATACATAAAACTCGCGATTGCAATACGCACTAAACGCTTTTAAAACGATATTTGACACATGAAAACTCATAAAACTTTCCGGTAATAAATTAGAAATCGTTTCTTAATATGTTCTGCCGTTTCTAAAAAAAAAAAATAAAAAAAAAAAGGAAATACAATTAATTTACAACTTGTACAAGCAAAACGAATTATTTTACTGTTATATATGCTAC